GGGACGGTTGTGGAGGGTTGGCGAGATGTGAGATGTGAATTGCGTATGTACAAAGACCCTCTGAAATGAATAGCCCATGCACAATATATTACCATGCATACCTGCCTGTAAAATGTTGGCCTTAGTAACATCATGCATATTAATGATAGAAACATCAAATGCAGTGAAAAGGTCCAGCTTATAAAGAGATCCAAAAATAAACATCATCAAGACAGCTAAAAAAAATGGCAAATATTTAGTGAAGTGTCTGATGTTCACAACCCAACAAAAACACACAAAGCATGTGTCTGTAAAGGAACAAGCATTAGAAGCTTCAATAAGTCTGCAAGTCTGATAAACTCACAAATATTCCGTAGTTCCCGTTAGCTCTACAGAGCATTTCATTGTGTCGTACAGTTTCATAGCCATCATGAACCCCACCTTCAGGAAAAATGGCAATGTCCCCGTGCAACCTGCCCACCCCAAAGGACAAACAGACGAAGTTAGCAAGTAGCTTGTGAACATAGTGGAGCATTTTGCATCTAGGAGCTGGATATTTTTCTCAGAGACCAAAAAAAACAAAACTGAAAAGCAGAGTGAATGTTGGAATTAGATTCATCAGGTGGATACACACACAACTTCAAATGAATGTTAATGTTGCTCAATGGATGTGTGAACAGGTAGCTACTTGCTGAGCACAGAAAGTTTAGAAGCTGATCAGATTAAAATGTTGCAGTTTGCATATTTAAATAATGTCCAACACATGATGATTGTGAAATATCACAATATCTATTCAGTTTTCAAAATAACACTTTAATATTAGCAGTCTCTGTGGCTGATTTAATATGTGCCTTAGAGTATATGAAGGAAGAGGTTCTTTGATTCAGTAACAGTTCAGATGAGTAATTAATTTTTTTTGCCAGCAAAATTACATCTCAAGTTGTGAATTAGCCTTAGGTGGTTGTTGCTGGTCGATAAAGGCCATGCCTCAGTGGTGTTGGTGCATACACAATGTTTGTTGGCACTGATGTCATTCATAATTTCCCTGTAAAAGATGAAAAATGATAAGACCAAGCTAGTGAAAACAACATAAAAAAGGGAAGTAATGAACTGCAAATACAGATGTAACTATGTTCTGCTCTACTTTGCTGTAAGGGTCTTTAGAGGCAAAGTATGTTTCTTAAAGCTGCAGGAAAAAAAGAGGGTCCATTATTCACAGAAAAATAGGTATTGTGTGAATTACCTGGATCCTGGTGTCTATGGGTCATTAGTGATCTTTTTACTGGAAAAGGACTGAATGGGGCTATTTTACTCGGCAGAATACAGGATACAGAATCCATCAGGCCTCTTTGAGTCAGAGAAGAAAGGATATCTCAAGTGAACACACTGTGGATCGAACTGTGAATGAGCATGAAATCAAGGTAAGTGAAGATATCTAGGGCAAGAGGCTAACATTGGGATATGCTTTCACTTAAGAAACAAGGAAGAGCTTTATATTAATTTCAATGTGAATGAAAGGTGGATGAACACGGTTCCATAAGGATGCATAGGGCTCTGATTTGAGACACATTTTGACAGCGAGACCTATATGTTACATTTTAGGGGAAAGAAGGATGGTTGGCATATCCAGGAGGCTTGGCAATAAGCTCCCAAAAACACATCTGCACTACACAAGTCAGATGTAGAAGTGTTTTAAAGTGGGTTATATATTTACTTTGATCATACAAAATAAGGGGATGTATGATGTGTGACAAGTACCATACATCATTAGCATGACTGGCATGTTCTTACGAGGTACCGAAAAATGGATGGAACAAAGGGTGTGACAGATGTTGCAGATGCCTTCATTATTTTACAGGACTAGAAGTTACCAGTTACAGTTCAGAGAACTGTGGAAGAACATGATTGTCTGTCAGTTATGTAAGTATACTGTAGTTGTTAGAATAATCAACACATTCCACACAATGTATGGTAACATAGATGATGAAAATCTCCATGAGACTAGAATTATAGTGTGGAAGATGACTTTTTCTTTCATTTCTTGACTTTATTACATTTTTATTCATTTATATCATGTCCTCATTCTACTGAAACAAAAGCATGTCCGCCTTTATTATCACCACCCATTTTGTTCACTAGGTGGCTGTAAATACCATAATGGTAAAAATGTGTTTTCCATACATTGTGAGAGCACAACAAACAGAACCAGTGAGTGGTTAAGGCAGAGCCTTTGATCACTCTCTCTCTCTCTGTATTTGAGAAAGATACAAAGGGAGAGCAAGAGAGACACATGGACCCGAAGAGAAACTGGCAGATAGAGAGAAGCCTTTGAATGTTATATTTTGAAAGAAACACTTCTTCCTAATTCGGGCCTGAGCTGCTTGATGGTAAGGGGAAACGCATACCACATATGACAAAAATCCAAATGTGCAAATAGCAAATGTGCAGTAAAAATAACACCTACTAATTTCTGGATTCTGGGGGTTTGAAAGGGGATATAAGATTTGCCTAAATTTTAAATACATGAAGACACATCTGCATACCTATTGTGTTATAGAATGGGACATGCCGCTGAGTAGGCTTCCTGAGGAGCACTTGACATGCACATATATAGACCTTTAACTCTTTTTTTATTGATATTAGACTTGACTAAGACTCATCGATAACTTACAATAAATAGGCCGTCAAAATTTAAACAAACAACATGTCAGATGTGTTCAAATAGTTCTTTGCTATATATTTACACATAGATCTAAGCAGTGTTTTAGCATCTTTTGGCTCATGGTTTTGTGGCCCTACAGATTTCCCCTTATGCTTTGCACCAGAGAGTCCCTTCTTAGGTTTACTAGAGATCCTAAAAACTGTTTTAATTTGGATGCAATATGTGAAATCATACAGTGTCATTATGACAATCATGTACAACTGGATGTACACTGAATTAGACAGACATGAACTGTTTCCTGTTTGCTGAAGTTTTGATATTTTCACAGGATAACATATACCTTAAGAGAAATCCCAGACTGTTAAATGATTACAGAGAAATTATTCAGTCCCGTCATGGCCTGAGGCAGAAACTTAGGACCCTGAGAAATTACATTTATTTACAAGAGTGTCTGTCAGTCGGAATACATTAATGCAGTCTCCTGACAACATAACACTTCAGACTTAACTGACACCTCCTTTGTCCGGGCAGTGACTGACTGTCATTTGAACAATGTTGTTTGCAAACACTAATTACATCCACATACCGGTTCGCATCGCACTGTGGAGGGCTTCTGCGTGGGACTTGAATACGCAGAGATGCAAATTCTCTACTGTCAACACACTGACAGTCATAAACAGCCTGAAGGCATAACTACTGACCTTTTCTTAGGAGAACTTTACTTTTCATGCCAGTGGGATTTGGAAGGAAGGTCTATTGAAGAACTTTCTGTTTATTTCAGTATGCCTGGTTTCTCACACTGATGCTGTATTGATTTGCATGGGAAAAGTTATGAAAAGTTGATATTTGTTCTCTCTGCAGCTAGGTTGAAGAGAAGAGAAAACTGTAAGGATCAGATTCCCTGACATGTTTAGGAGAGGATATTTTACAACACAACAAAGTTCTGATTTCAATATCATTTTCCTGGCTTAAATATTAGATTTTGTGTTTCTGCATTGTGCAAACCAGGCTCTTGTGAGTGCTTTGTACGAAGAAGTGTCCTCTTGACTGACTGCAGATCTCAGCAAGAGGCCGCTTATTTTTTCCTTGAGGACTGTGTGTACCTCATCCAGTGAAGAGAGACATTTGTACACAAACACACACCAACACAAAAGATTGCATAGACAACTGCGTAGTGGCAACTGGATTTCTCATCTGAACACTGACGAGACTGTGTGTGTGCATGTCACACGTGCATTTGTGTCTGCAGAATTTCATTATAGGATCAATGCCGCCCTGCCCAACTAATCTGGTTAATATGTCCCTCAGGAACAAAGAGGCAGCTTTTAACAATATTATGAACTATAGCCTGTGCCAAAGTATCACTACTATTTAATCATCAATGAAGACAGATCCAAGAAAGTGGATGACGACAAGGAGACAGGATCTAATTTCCTAGTGCTTTAGTCAAAAAAGGGTAAAAGGGGTCTTGGTGAGGACACATTTTTCTTCTCAGTTTTAATTGGAATAAAATGGCAATGGTTCCAGCTACTAACCCTCCAATGATTGAACATTCAGAGGGGTGATTTTGTTGAAGCCCTCTCCTCTGTCACATTCTGCTTTCCTGCTGATAATCTGAAAAGTAATGGATTGGATACAGCTAAGCCAGGCAATGATCCACCAGTGCCACCATCAGAGACCATGAGGAATTACACAAAAATGGGACAAAAAACAAAACACTTGATATGGTGTAAACAAGTAAGACACAACCAACTGGAAACCAGAGACCAAAAGTTCTCAACCAACCCAGGAAACAATAGCGTTATTCACTGTGTTCAACCAAGGGTTATTACAAGGCAAATAATTTTATTTTTCTAGTTGTTTCATAACAATTTGACACACCACACCTTCATATTCAAATAGGAGAAAAACAAATCTATTTACATTTTTTTTAATTTTGTTTCACACAAAATTATGGTAAAGATCAAATGTGTGACAACAGTTGGTAAGAAGAGAGCACGTTTGGGCACTTCATTTGTTGTTTGGCTCACAACAAAGATGACAAAAAATAAAAAATAACGATACAAAAACGTGTAGAAATGGCTTTTTAAAATTTTGTTTAGTATTATGTTAGTGAGGGAAATATTTTCAGAATATTGCATTTTCTTGTAGTACATGAACATTGAAGTGGCCCTCCTATGAACTGACAATACCAGCAGTGGCCCCCAGCCAATTTGAGTTTGAGACCCCTTTTTTGCATTACCATACAAAACTAACCATGGCCAGTACTTTGTGGCTGTCCACAACCCACAATGTACTGGCCAACATAAGGGTGAACCTACATTACAAAACACACAACCTTTACAGACTAAACTGGAAGTGGAGTTTTAAAATGTTTATTTAAAAAAATAGAAAACTTTACATAAAAAAAACAAGGTATACATCTATATGTCAGTCATTTACACACAACCCATCCTTAATTACACACATATGAACAGGGGATTTGGTTTGTGGCAATATTATGTAAAAACCCATCAATTATCCTCTAGACGGCTCAGTAAAAGCCCCACTGACAACAAGGGGATATGCTAACAGTATCATGTTGAGTCCATCAGTTTGGTATGCAGGGTGGTCCAATAATCAGACTTCAGAAACAACTTCACCAAATTTTGGTTTTGTTAATGGCTCTACCAAAACTTAATGGTGAGTCTGTGACATCACAAACTCAAGTCCTCTTCTGGATTGCTGTGTAAATTATGTAGCTTTGAAACCTTGTCTTAGAAATACTGACTTAAATATGGGAGAGGAAAATCTCTTATACAACTGCTTTATAATGATCTTTGAATAAAAAAAAAGAAAAAAAATATATATATTATATATAGATGTGACATGATGCTAATGCTAACAATCATCAACTGCAGTAGGAGTCTACTCCTGGAGCATACACCTAGAAGCTGCTTGTAAAAATAAAAGCCAAGTAAACCTGGCAGTGCTTATAGAAACAAATGGGGAATACAGAATGCTGGCTACGTACAGGAAAAAGGGCAAATTTGGTCATTTAAGAAGGCAGTTAACCTGTTGCTTTAAACAGAATCAAAAGGAGATATAAGGCAAAACACAAGCACTTTGCTGGTAATAAGTAGCACCAACTATTTTTGAAATGACATGAAGTAATATTTCTAAAAAGGTGCATTTCCCCAGTCCAGCCTATCAAGAGAAAATGCACCCAAACAAAACGTCAAACTATTACATAAGTGATATGTTTAAAAATGAGAACTAGTGGTGGAAAACATTTGGACACGCAGTTGGCAAAATTTCAAGTTATTATAATGCAACGGTAAATTAAACATGAGTAAAATGTTGGCGTCATGGGATTTTTGGCACATTTCTCATGTTGCAATACCATAGCTCCCCCTTCTGCTGAAAAGCAGTACGTACACACAAACACATTCCTTCAAGGCCCTTAAATCCATCTATTGCACAGATCAATGTCTAGAAATAAAAAAGCAAACTTATATAGTGGGGAGAACCCCTAAAATAAAACTAAAATGTGAAATAAATTAAATAAAAGCAAGTCATTATTGCACATAAACGCAACAAACATAAAATAAGGTGGTAATGTTTACAATACAGAAACAAAATAGTGCCGATGTGAACAAAAAAAAATCCTCAGTGACAAAAACAAGGGAACAAAAGATAATTACCAACACACACACACACAGACACACAAAAACACTTGGTACATTCAAACAAGTCATCACAGTTTAAGCACTTGAGACAAGGTCCATTTTGTGCCGTCACACCAAAAACATTGAATCAGCGTTGCGCTGCATAGGTAGAAAGTTAGTGCTTCGCTTCAGTTCAGAGTACAATTTGTAGATGTCCAAGCTGTAAGATCTCTGAAGAACGTAGCCAATAGGGATTTGCATTCAGAAGACCAAATGAGCCCAAAACCTGATCAAAAAGGCCCAATAATAGTCAAAACTTCAAGACAGACCAGGTTGGATAAACCAGTTCAGTACTATGGCACAGGATGTTGCTTTTTAAGATGTTTAAGTTGCATGGAAACTCACTACTTGACTGAACTGTTCCGCCATCCAGCAACCAAATCAAAGTTTCAAGCAGCTGAAAAGTGACACTGGTGAGAAGACCATCAGTAATTCTTCAATCCACTCCAAGTCTGTGCTGGTGTGCATCAAATTTAGAGGAAGGGCTTCTGACTACCATCGGACCAATGTAACAAGATGAGTACAGTGAAGACTTTAGGCCTTTTAGTCAGTTCACCTTCAGCTGTGAGAGCCTTGTAGCATCACTTAGTGCTTGCACAATCATTCATATGACACCTTGGGTGACAACTTCAATTGACTTGAATTCCAGGATGAAGTACGTAAGTTTTGGAGAGCCTCCAAAAAAAAAAAAAACAAAAGAAAAAAACAAACAAAAAAAGTGTATGATTCACAGCTTCTCAAGACTCATTATGAGGCCTTCAAAACATCAATGCCAGTCAAGTAGAGTCATGCAGGTTCAGTCTTTCATCTGCTCTGGTTAAGAGCAGGAAGATTGTCTCTCTTTCTGCGCCGCCAGGTGTTACGGTTGTACTGCTGCTGGTTCCTGAAACCTGGTGCTGTGTTATGACCCTGGGGAACGAACCGCCGCTGGGGACTGAAGTTACCTTGACAGTGGTTCGGACCTTGGTTGCCGCCACCGTGGTTGTGCTTGAAGCCAACTTTGTGTGGCTCAAGTGAGCCATGGGAGTTGGTTCTTATGGTGTAAGTGTGGCCTGGCTGCCCTCCTACCTGAGGATGGTGGAGCTGGTGTAGGGGGCTGTGGAGAGGGCTTGTGGAGTTAGTGTGCTGGGAGACTTGTGCAACTTGTGACATGTGACGGTGCACAAGACCAATTGAAGGTGGATTCTCATGGTAGAACTGGCAATCAGAGAGGGAGGGGATGGTAAGGTTATCTGTGAGAGACATCTGGACCTAAAAAAAAACAAAAAATGGATTGAGAATTCTACCCAGAGCAATTTCTGTCATTTATGGAACACAAAGTGCAACATTTAACAAAATAAATAAATTATATATATATATATATATATATATATATATATATATATATATAAAATATTTTGCAACTTAAAAGTAAAACCGACCTGAGGCGTGGTGTGGATAAATGCCCCTGGATGTGTGGCCCTTGGGTGAGTAGCCATCTGGACTACTGAATGGACTGAGGCCAGGGTGAGGGGGTGTAGTTGGATAGCAGCATTACTGCTTGGGGGAGAATCAGACTCCTGGAAAAAGAGGTACAAAGTTTAATGAATGCATGAAAACACAGGTAAGAGTTTAACAACATGTGAACTAATGATTCACTGATCATATCTGAATAGACCAAATATCTTTTGACCTTACTATGTCACTTCCTGAGGAGGAAGAGAGTGAGCATGCTGAGGATGATGACGAATGGTGTTGAGGGCTGGGGAGGAAGACTGGAGAAGGTGAGGGGGAGTCAGCACTGAGAGGGGAGGAAGAGTCTCTCTGATCCTCCACAGACACCAGCATCAGCCTGGCAAGGTCCTGCTCACAGGTCTCTACATCTAGGACCAAATAGAATTCAACTGTTGACACCAGCATTGGGCATATTCACCATATATCTGAGATGGGACAACATTGTCACTTTTCTGGAGCCGTCACAAGATACAACTCCAGTCTAAATTTGACCGAAAATAGATGCAAACCCAAGGTTGCCATAAAGTTACCATGGTTCTCCAGCTTGGCATACTGCTTGGCTCCCCACTTCTTGATCGTCCAGTCCCTGTAGGCCAAAACCTCCGGGCTGACTTTGATGATGCGTCCTAAAGTACTGTAACAAAGAGAGGTACAGTCCGTAATGCTGTCGGGTCAAACTTAAACTAGCTGCTGAGACAAAACCATTACAAAACTCAAGAGATTATTTAATTAAGAAGCCAACCTGTCATACTCTTTGTTGGGGTAAGCACGTGCAAGAGGAGACACACCGTGACTCAGCACCATGTAGGCAAAGTCAAACACCTGCTTGACTTGCAGGACGCCATATGAACTCCTGCCCACGTCATTCCCTGTGGAGATCACAAAATTAAAAAAATAATAGAGGGATTAAAAACAAGAACAGCTTTCTAAAATACAATATATAGTACAATCTGGGTATACAACTCGAGTAAAATGTTTAACAGCACCAAAGAGCGATCCTATCCTAGGCCAGGATTTATAAGTCAAACCAAAATCACAAGGACAGCAGTCAGTACAATCAAAATGTAGTCAAGATGAAGTGACTGAAAGGCCTAAAAAAAAAAAAAAAAAAAAAATCATCATTAGGTATAATTCCTTTCACAAACATAACATACATGACACAATGGCACTACGCAGGCTTGGGGAGTAATGGAAAATGGTTACTGTAACCAATTACAGAAGAAAAAAAACCCCACCACATTGAATGAGATTACAGTTTTGTCAAAATTGGGATTATTATGTGCACACATTCAAACATTTTACGGGTCTCACACCACCACTATGCAACCCTCCCAACCCTGCAACTACATATGTGGTACCAAGCTGACCTGGCTGTATTGGATCTTCAATGCAGAGCATGGATGGCCTGTTTCCATTCCCCATGGCTTTCAGCATGTCCTCTTTAGACAGGTAAGCTCCTGCATACTTCACCCTGATGCCAGTCCTCATGTAGTTGAAATCACGGCCATACAGCTCAAAGAACTCGATCAGCAGGATGCCCAAGTTGATGTTAGTACGCCGCGTGTCGATCCGAGGGTGTAACTTTGGTTAACAGGACAAGGAACACTCATTACCTACACTTTGTAACCAACTCCAGCCAGTACGTTTCCTGATAGATGGAACAGCAGGAAAATAAGTATCAAGTAACACTAAACATTAATTTTGTGATCTACTTCTATCACACTGAACTCTTCAACTTTAGCAGATCCACCAGTAGGGTATTAACATTCAGTGTAATTCATTCAGATACTGAGTTTTTACATAAATACCGACTTAAAAATTTACAAACTTGCATCATAAGACTGTCCACTCATCTTGTGTCAATTCTAAGGCAGCGGTGTAGCATCATGCCAAAATGGAGAGCTTTTCAAGTTGATTTTGTAATTAAATGTGTAAAAATGTGTAGTGTTTTGAACAGACAGGGAAGAATTCATTATAGCTGTAACATGCATACAGTACAAATATGTACCTGCAGAAAGCTGATGGCCATTAGTATAAGGCTGTAAGAGCTGATTCCTCCAGTGAAGACTTCATTCAGATCCCTCTGCAGTAAGAACTGCTTCAGGACAAAAATCAGGGGCGGCAGAACAGTGTACTTCTACCAGAAAGACAGAAAGATGAACATTAGAAACAACCCAAAAAGGCCACATTTTTGTTGAAAATGTAAAATATTAAAAGGCTTACCTTAAGATAGCTTTTGATGAATTGTGCTGCTTTAACAGCGGTCTCTACATTGAAGCTGATGTCCACTTTCAGCTCTGTTTCGTGATCAGTGAGCTTGATGATTGGCACCTGAGGACCGGTCAGATAGCCAACATTTCATGACTCAAGATTTATAACTAGCTAACTGACACAACCTCTATTGTTAAAGTTATAGTTAGTCAACTCTGTGGGTCCCTAGAGGGAAAAAGACACTCAGCTCGTGGTGACTTACTGTAGCTTTGTCGAGGACCTTGATGGGATATGGGCCAGCCACATTGTGTTTCTTCAGGGCTTGTTCCAGTTCCTGCAGTGGGGGATGGTCCCACTTTCCAAACACCACCAGGTCAATGTCACTAAGAACAAAAGCACAAAGTACTTTGTACCTTTAGTATATTTCTGAAGTATTCTGTCGACACAAAGTGCAGTGATGTGAAAGCACAGCATTAGGGGCCTATTTTGTATTGAACTAATTCAGGTCTTTGGGAAAGTTCACAATGCTGTTTTTCTACTGAGAGAGAGATGTGGTGTGTGTGTGTGTGTGTTCTGCCTGTCAAATACTACAAAATCAAAAAGAACTTTCTAATTATAACTGTAGGTTAGTGAAGTAACTTGTTTGTCTCTTCAACTGAACCAAAAGGTTCTTGACCATCTCTCAGAGTACAATGCCCTCTAAATTATTGTGTAATTACACAAAATACTTGGATGAATTAATTTAGCAAGAAGCAGTCAGCATTAAACAGATGCCTCGCTTCCCTACAAAACAAAATCACCATGATTACTGCTACACTGATAAATTCTTTCCAAATGAAGCTGTTAAACAAATAAACAAGTACAATTATTTCAACAAGTATGTTGAAATGTGATGTCAACTTCCCCCTCAACATCCCTTGGCTCTAGCAGGCAGTAATCCTCATGACAACAGTGCCTTGAGAAACATACTGTACAAACAAACACCATGGGAGCACATGTCAAGGTTATTTTCCATTAAAATGCAGTAAGGTTGTAGTTTTGCTACTGAATGGTAAACTGTATGGCATCATATTACTGAGGCCCTATGACAAAACTGAACATACCACATCAAAAATAGTGTTCCTGCTTCTTAAAAAAAAGAGAGACAAAAGAGGCCCACCTAAAAAGGTCAGAGTGTACAAGAAAGATACACAAATATATTACCTCGATGGAAGATAAAGTCCTGTGCTGAAGCTGCCAAATATCTCCACCTGCAGAGCATAGGACAAATGAATGATCAACCAACAAGGCTTGATTCAAGTCATAACATCATTGTAACCAGCACCATGGCGTAGATAGTTTGATCTTTGTGTTGTTTCCTGTAGTGTAGTTAGTTGAAATAGATGTTTAAATATTTGTTTGGAACAAGGGGAGTGCCATTTCTGCATTAGATATTATTACTGACTGTGGTCTTTGTCCACTTTAAAGTTAAATATCTTTAATTTCTGGTTAGGGACCAAAGCCCACTAGAAAAATTAAACATTCTTACTGTCACAGCTTGAAATAGTAACAAACATACGGTCTTTAAAGCCCACAGTGAGGTCCACTGGGACTTCTCTGGGCCTTGGTTACCTCAAATGTTTATAATGTTAACAACAAAATGCTACTTGTTAGTAAGTACACTGTCTAACATTCTGCTGGCAACACACAATGGAAAATAATTCACCAATGTTACTCTGGGAATGCAAGTGACATGAATAATTATTACATCTGGCCAACTCTGTTTGGACGTGCAGTGTAAACTAGGCTGTTGACTGACTACAGCGTGGCCAAACAGGATACACAAAGTGCAGTAAACTTCCAGACACACTGGCTGCTGAGTATATGAGACAGTAACATTGATTTACACAACGCATGACAGCTTTGCAAAGTAATTTGCAGACCAATAAACAAAAGTCAAAATAAAAAATGTCGTATTAAAAACCAAAGTTACATAAATTACAAAACCTGCAAATCAAAAAGAATGTGTGTATGGTTAAATAACCAGAGAAGAAGTGATTCAACTCAATGGTAATATTCTGTCTCCCTCGTGTATTTAATGGAGTGTAAACGCCACATATCAACATAAAGCAGTTCACAACAACACCACCAATTACATCCAACTTAAAAGTGACCAGACCTCTCCAACACCGTATCAACACAGACATATTTTAAACTCATTAACTTATGACATTATTAGCCTTAAAAGAGTCTGAATCATCCGGCTCTTTCTACAGACTGTGCGGTCCAGAGTGGAGTACTGCTCCCACAGACAGGACTCCCAGCTTGAGTTACCTCTCCAAGCCTCTGCACAGGCACACACAGATCTCCTACTGACACTCACCCGTGCTGTGGGCCACAAGTCCTTGATGACGCTTTCTATCCTGTTCACGACATCTCGTCTCATGGCCTCCTCCTCTGGTCGCGGTGACATGAAGTTGAAAAAGTCCACAATTTCTTCATGAAGACTGTATGGAGTCGAAGAGAACAAGACACCCGGGATCATGGACTGATATAGGAGAGGGGGAAAGGCTATAGCACTGGGGAAAAAACTGTCAAAAATAAATTTGGGAATCAAATACATCTGTGGGCACAGAAACTTAAAGTCCCCCTCCATTAAAAAAAAGTTTCTTGTTTCTATAGTTGGATGTTTGAGCTTCACTGCACAATAATGCATGTGCACAGTTTGACACTAGAAGGATGTTTTGATGTTCATTTGCTGAATGTACAAAGTTTCTCTGGGCTCACTGAAATTCTTTTTTTTTTTTTTTTTTTTTTTAAAAAAAGGGGGCAGGGCTTACAAGCATGATCTATGACATCACAAATAGTTTGGAAGTCAACCCTGGTCCAGTATACAACTTATAGGAGTGTGATACAAACTTAAAGTCCTCAATGCACAGACCCTCAGAATTTACAGTGAAGTAAGAGACATATTGTGTCCAGCAGGAAAGCTTGAGCGTCGAAGAAAACGCATATTCATACATTCTGGATTTTAATGAGGTAGAAGGAGTAGATCCCTTTTTAAAATATGACTTTCATGTGGAACTTATATTTTTGTGGGGGGAAAAAAACATCATAAACACACAATTGTTTCAAGCAGATCATTTGTATATTGTCTTGATATATGTCTGGAGGGGATCTTTAAGTTAACTCAAGTATTTTGCAAAACACATAAATTGATAAAAAGAACAAAAACTCATCACTGACATTCACATTAAATTAATGAGCTACAGCCATAGTTTTGTTTGAGGGAGCACAACTCATGATTTTAACTGTTTTATGTGAATTCACATTTATATCACAATGTGTGGAGAGAAAGAGCAATTGTGAATATTTTACTGAATATTTTTACTATTTCATAAAACGCTGTACATTAGCCACTGCTCATTTAGTTGGAGGACCTGGTGAACCCTTCAATGAATCCCTCCATACATCTCCTTACCCGTTAATGCCCGGGCTGTACCGCCTGGTTTTCCACAGGCTGTAAGAGGAGTCGACATAGTGTCCATTGCAGCCGTAGGTCAGGAGCGGGTTGATGCCGTGGAAAGTGTTCGCTCGGTTCAGATGCCTCCTGCGGCCGGATGAATGTGTCCGATAGTGGTGGTGCTTGTTCCCATGCTGATTTCTCATCCCAGCGGGGGTGTGGCCGAAGGATTGTTGCATGCTGCGACAGTGTTGCTGAACAGTGTGGAAAGGCGGAGGGGGATGCTGCCGTCTGAGATTGTTCTCGTTCAACTCGTGCTCGCCGTAGTGTAAAAACCGGCTGGCCTCTTCTGCGACGTTCAAATTGTCGATTTGCAGAGAGGAGCCGTAGGGCGAGGAGCTCTCGGCCTCCGAGTCCAGGGAGGAGGAGGACGGCGACAACGAGCCCTTCCTCCGGACACTTCCCCTCTCTCCTCCTCCGCCGCCGCCGCCGTCTTGCTTGGGCAGTTTTCCAAACACAACCCCCGGTGGCGGTGCTACATTTTTGCAATACTCGCCGTTTGAGTCTGCAGAGTTAGCATTTAGCGCTGCAAAGTCGCGTTGGTGGTGGAGGTGGTTGTCGATGCCGGAGTTTGCTCCAAATCCCTGTGAGGTTTCCCAAATGTGCATCCACAGGGAATTTGCAGGTCCCTTCTGCTCCGGCTGGATCCAAGCGGTCCTGGGATCCATTGGAGTCGAGTTTTTACGGAGAACCTCTTCACGGGAAAATGAGGGGCAATTTGGCAGATAAAACACGTTGCAACCCAGGGAGCAAATAAATCCTACCGCGTTGATTTACTTGTTATCCTCGAAGTGCTTCATGTCTGGAAACTGGTTGGATTTTTCAAGCGGTTTGCCCAACTCCACTCCCCATGTCAACCAGCCAATATGGCGCACCCAGCAGCACGGATCAGCGTCTACGCATGTCCCAGGGATTTAAATCCCTCAGGACGCGAGAGATGCGTCAAGTTCACCACACACACGTCGGAAAAACCGGAAGCTCATAAGAATCAACGCATTACAGACAATATTTATACAAATATACTAACATTGTTCGAAACATATCAATATTTTTTCGTATATTTCACACCTTGCACGTCTCAATGTGTCTTAAGGGATGTTAACAATAAACATTGAGACAAGTACTTTCCATATATCCTAATATAACTACATTAAACATATCAATTCACTTTATTGATGGTTTGTTAAAAAGAAGTGCAATTCTCCTGGTTTGAGGATTTATTTCAAATTAAAATCTGAAACTCGCATAGAACGGTTTTCTTATTTGGGATTTGGCCTCTTTATGTAATTATACAGTTCAGTAATATAAAAGATAAACGTTTGCATGACATGGATGTGGCGTGGGCTTTTATTTTGAAGGCTAGCCCAAGCGTTTATAGGTACATGTTTCACTACTTTACACAGGTCGGACCGGGCAGGATAAAACTGATAAGACGTGATAGTTGTAGTAATTTGGCTAAATAATTAATCGCCGCCTTTATCACCAATTTAATTAACGTTGTTGCAAATGACTGGGAGCCGTAAGGCATCAAACAGCTTTGTGCTTTTAAAGAAATATGTATTTTTAAATGACTTATTAAAGAGCTAAACGATGCATATTAGGTCAGTATGTGGACCAGAGGGCAATATCATGGCGTGGTATTTGTATGCATTGAGGAAAGTGAGGAGAGAAACCATCATTTGACTACATTTTTTAATTTGAAAAAATTAAATAACCTCTGAGACTTCAACTATTTTCCTTAATACAAACATAGATACCTCATATATACAAACACTTACAGCAGCACCACAGTTACACCAGAACACACATGTACATGTTTTACAATATTTTAGAGCATTACCTGAGGATAGCAAAAAAAAAAGCAGAGTTATGCCAGTACATTTATGACAGGGTGTTACAGTTTAAAACCGTGTCTCGAACATAAAAAGGAAACATTAGCTACTAAATTAGACGTGTATTTTAAAGTAGAGGTCCACATAAAAACTAAGCAAATGGTCTGAAACTGTCTTTGACAATAGATTTCAGTTTATAGTGGACCTCCAGACACCCTGTATCTTTAAAATAGGTGCAGACTGACATGCATATGTCATTGTGGATTTGTACAACATGTGCATCTCTATCAGCTCTTGACCTGTCTGCAGACAGAGGCTAACTGGTTAATGCAGCTGGTAACAGCAGGAGGGACGCCTCGAGAAGTTTCTCCTCTCCATCCTGCGAGGGCATCTAGGGCTTGTTTGGGATTACAGGGAGACAGTTCGTACATGCAGTAGATGGCTGCTAACTGGACCTCCCACGGCACACCTACGGAGAGAAGACACAAGATTAGAATTCTTAACGCAAATACATCTGCTGGATGGCTTTTCCTTTTTCACAGCATTGTATTTATATCATTATGTTATATTTATTTGGCAAAATAATGACAATAATATACTTTAACATGCCAGGTTGAGACATTCTAGAAATTGTGTGCCCACATGTGAAAAAGATAAACATCAGATTTGTGTTTCAGAAAAAACGATCAATGAATGGCAGGTGTGGGGGAAACTGGCAGCACTCTCAGCACACAATAAAGGCTGTGTACTAGTTACAGCCAAACTCAATCATTTGGTATTCACCAAGGTTTCTCATATTTCATACCTTCAGTATGTCCATGCCTACCAAACGTGTTGATGACGTTGGCAACAGTTACCACAGAGGAAACACACCTCTCTTTGATTCCCAGTTGACCGAGGCGTCCTATTTAAAACAAAAAGACAATGAAATTCTTAACTGTCCTCTAGCGACTACTGAATTACATGTCACTTCAGGTTATGGTTGATACAAGTAAAAAAAAGTAAATTAACAAAAGAACTGACCTATGAGTCGGAGCACAGTGGCCACGGTCACATCCGAGACGGGTGCTTGTTGATCTCTGGGCTGTGTCACCCAAGTGTTCATTAATGGCCACAACTCCTTGCTGTCAAAGTGAAATAAACAGATTAGCACAGGATAACTTCTTTAAGTGAGTTTTACACCCTTTTTATCAAATTCATATTTAGTTTGGAAGGCAACTGTTAATTAAATTACATAATTTAACTCGCTAGGTTCAGAAAAACTAACATACCCCAATAGATTTTCATAGGTCCACTTCCACTTCTTGTGTGTACAAAGGAGGTGCAGTGTGAAGACATGTTCCCAAGCCTCAGTCCCCAGGTCGTCCCCGTGCCGGCTGTGTTTAGTGAAAGACAGGCTTAACCCGGACCGAATGTCGGACAGTGTTCTGGTGATCAGCTTGTCAATGTCACAGGGAGGACTCTGCAGAGATACAGGGAGATTAGGTTTTAGAGGGCTCAATCTATTTAATTTGAGAAGATACAAAAGGGAAAGCTGGTTAAGACTAGATGATGTGATAAAGACAATGACCTGAAAATAAGGTCACACAGGTTAGAAATCAAATGGTGTAGAATACAAAAAAGCCTTCAAAAGTCTCTGCAATTTTAAGTAAATTAATTAAATGGCAATATTTTCATCAGCCACTCAGGATACATGCCAGCCAAGCTAGATTTAAGTAAAATAAGATATGCAACATCACAAATGTAGAACCCCAGCTCTACAAATACTTCACCTTCTCCCAACCAAGAAATGCTGAAAGGCAGCTGAGGAGGTTTTCTTGTGCTTTCAGTTTGGTGACAGCGTGTATTGCCTGGCACAGAGAACTACTGTGAGAGAGAACATTGGGCCATGTTGTCACCATGAACAAAATCAGCTTAGCAGAGTCTGGGAAGTCTGTGGCAGGGAACAAATAATGAGAAAGAAAAAGTGTTGGTCAAATTTGAGCTTATGTGGTGCCTAAGGTGGCACACAGATGGTAGTATTTAGAATCTTCCATTGGTTCTAGTAAAAAGTCTAAAACATACACAAACTGAATTTGACTTGCAATAAGAGTACAATGGCTATGAATGAAAATCCATGTGCATCTAGTTGAAATAAAGTCTTCAGAATTAAGAGAAAGGTCTTAATTTAAAAAAGTTCAAAGTTAAAATGTCTATGCAGATGTATCAAGAGTATTAAAAGGAAGAAATCATGTCACAAATTGCTAACCTTCTGTGAGAATGCTGTAGGCCAGGATGTGAGCCTTCTCCCAGTCTCTCTTCTGTCTACAGACCCCCGTGTAGACTCTGCAGAGGGCCTGCATGTAGTTTCCACTGAGGTCTCTTTTCTCTGCTTTCAGTTTGTTCAGGATGGCAAAAATAATATCATCTGCCTTCAACTGAGGAGAGTGAAGTGGACGTGAGAAAACATGCACATAGGTTCGTTTCACATGGATACAGACTTGGAAACACACAACACACATCCTATGAGGTATTGTCAGGCATTTTTCTTTATATCAGGAGGCTACACAAGAACCACTTGCTTCCTTTATTTGTTAACTTCCTTCATATAAAGGATGTACTTACTGATGTAATGGTCCCTTTTTTCTTTACTGTTGCTCTTTTTTAAAATTATAAATAAATTCCAGTCCTGTTCTGATTTGACCCTATTATTTATGTCCCTGCAATTTACTATTATGGGCAAATAAAGTAAATGTTCATCTGAAAAAAAATCGTTGGGATTTTGCATGCCCTGTATGCAACATTAATTGTCCTTTGCCAGTCACATGCTTATATAAATGATGAACTGCATTGATTGTGGTTGTTTTAGTGATGGAAACATACGTTTTATACTTTTTTATACTTAGTTTTGTGGCCTATGCTACAAATCTTTCAACCTGTGTAGCAACCAGTGCTATGTACAACAAGCCTGCCTGTTAAGATCTCTTTTCTTCTTAACTTCTAGGGATACTCAATCTGGTTAACACATGGCTTGAACATTTTCCAGTAATTTTGACTTCTGGGGAATAGAAATTGATCCTCGATATCATAATTTAAATAAGAATCAATCAATGGAGATCTGGACAGACACCCAGGAGCTTTGTTTAAGTTAGCACCCAAAATATGTAGTAGAGTAATCAGCTGTGTACCAAATAACTTTGTAAAGATCACTTGAAAACGCTAGTTTCTCTGAAGAATATACTGTTGCTTTACATTGTAAGACAATGCAAAATGACCAGTGGGTCATAATTAAGTCAGCAGATGAATGCCCAATAAACCAGTATACTCACCAAGCGGCTTTGGAAGATCTCAGAAATAACCTCCTTCTCCTCGTCTCTCAAGACGGGCTTTTTGGGCAGGTTACCAACGTACAGGTGGCTCTGAATCACAGGCAACAGATCGAAACACTGGTTTTCAATTTTCTTTAAATAGTTAACTATTAGATTTTGATCAGCAGGTTCTCCACCATCCAGGGAAGGGGAGGCTGCCTCATTTGTGAGGTGTTTGAGCCTCAGAGTCTGGGGTGAGGTGGTCTGCTCTCCACTGTTTGATGGAGATGAAGGCATATGCTTGTGACTGATAGTAGGAGAGACATTATCCAGTCTGAGGCATTTGCGGTTTTTAGGTTGAGGCAGACCGATGGACTGTCTTTTTTCTCCTCTCATCTCTGTCTTGGTGAAGGCCGTTGAAGTGGAATTAATAGTTTTGAAGCCAGACATCTGACTGACTGCCGTTGTAGGTAATGTTCCACTCTCTGATGAATAAATGCTGAGGCTGACATTCCCCCTGAGAATGCTCAGAGTCCGGGCATGGGCAGAGAGCTCTGGGTACATGGTGTCAAGAATCCTCATGGAGTTTTCCTGAGATGGACTGGAGGAAGACGACGGGGAAGAATTCATTGCTGACAAGGGCAGGCGACCTGGGACCGGCACAGCGTGCTTCGGAGTGGCACAGCCGAACTGAAGTGGTGATGAGGGGACTCCGTTTGGAGGGAGAGGGCTGTTCACAGATGACGAACTCAGCCGGTGAC